GAGTTATGAGCCATAGAGTCGCTGTTTCCAAACTAACTTTTCGGTAAAATTATTGCAGATGTTTAAGGTAGTCGAACAAACTGGATTAAATCTGAAATAATCGATATGTTTTGCACGAGAGTTCACAGTTCCAAAAATTGTTTTCTTCTTTATCATTTTCTCAAAAACTTTCGGGGTTTTCAACCGATTTTAACAATTCAAGCGGTCAAAATTTCAGAAACTGACCAGCTTTAGACTAGATTTTATTTTTCAAAAATCGGTCCAAAAACAAGCGAGTTAGGAGCCATAGAGTCGCTGTTTCCGGACTATTTTTTGCATTTTCGTAATTTTCCGCTTATCTTCTAGAGTTTTCACCCGATTTTAATGATTGAAACGCGGAAAGCTAGATAAATTAACCGCCTTTAAAGGACGTGTGGGTTTTTTTAATCCGCCCAAAAACAAGCGAGTGATGAGCCATAGAGTCGCTGTTTACAAGCTATTTTTTCGCAGTTTCGACAGTTTTTCGCGTAATTTCCAGGCCCGATTTTGTTGCTCGAAACGCTGAAAGTTTGAGGAACCAAGCGGCTTTAAAGCGCATTTCGTTTTTTCAAAATACGACAAAAAACAAGCGAGCTATGGTCCATAGAGTCGCTGTTTCCAATATTTTTTACCATTTTTCGCATAACTTCCAAGGTTTTTACCCGATTTTGAGCATGGAAACGCTGAAAGTTGTAATGGCGATTTTCCGCTCAAACTATTAACGTTTTGAAAAACATTGAAGGAACCTGTCGGAAAATTTTGTAGGGGAAGTCGGTGCAATTTTCAATTTGCTGTCGGTTTTTTGCCGTTTTCTCCGAAACCTTTATACCAAAAACGGTATTCTGGAGAAACTTGTTGCCGTCAAAAATTGCACCGAAAAAGTAAAGTTGTCACAAAGACAAAATTGCAAAAAAAAGTTTGAGGTATTTTTCAAAAAAAAAAAAAAATTGTAGGGGAAGCGAGGGCAATTTTAAATTTTGGTAGGGGTTTTGCGTGTTTTTTCTTTTAAAAACCACAACTTTCTCCCCCTTCAAAGTAGGCGCAAAATTTGAAATTGTTTTGCGCAAATATTCTGTAGGGGAAGCCAGGGCAAAAGGCGATGTTAGGCAGGTTTTGCTGTTTGGAAAAGTTGCACTCTTTTCAAAACGGTCGGGAACATACCTTGACAGAAATGACAACACGGCAACCGCGCACGCCACCCGTTCGGCCTGTGGACGTTCGTCCTTTGAACGCCAGATGGGGCGATTAGTGAGGTTAGAAATTAATTTTTTGTTTGATTTGCAGGCAGCAAAGACAGTTTAGCGTCGTTCGGCTCGAATTCCACATTGACCGGACACGAAATCGACGATTCGGTGCGAATATCGCGGGTGCGACAGAGCGTGCGCCAAAAAGAGGAATTTTTACGGACGCCGGTGTTTCGCGAGTTCCACGGCCGCCCCAAGAAGCTCGAGCGGCCAGTTTGGCCGCCCAGCGACGCCACCGTCGATTTCCGACCGAATGGGGGCGTGGCCAAGGCGGCCACGCCCCTAGTGGATGCGCAGTTGCCGCGCCACGATCCACCGCTTGCGGAGAYGGCGCCATCTTTCGACGCCGGCGAAACCAGCAGACAGTCGGTGGCCGAGGCCAGACGGTAAGCAGTCAGGGGGCGGGGTTTTGGGGCCGATTCATGCAACCTTCCTTGTTCCAGGAGCGTAATTAATTATATTTTGGCCTACTTGTTCCCCATGTAAGTCCGTTGAACGCGATTGGAAAATGTGCTAACCGTTTTCAGTTGGGGTTTTTTTGGTGGTGGGGGTGGAAATGAGTGTATTTTTGTGTCAAAAGTTCGCATTTTAACCAGGAGGGGGTGTTAGTTAGGGTGCAGCTGCGCAGAGATGGCGCCTCTGGCTGCAGTGACGTCATCCACGAGTGCCTCCAGTCTGGATGGGTGCAAACCGAAAAAAATTCGGTTGGTTTGGATTGTTAACCCGAGTGTTCGGCAATGTTGCGCATGTGTGATTGAAAAAATTTCCAATTTTTTGCCATCGATTTGACGGCTTTGTCTAATGTTTTGCAGGATGAACGCGCATCCGCACTTCCAGAACGTGCAAAAGAAGGCGAAGGAGTTTGAAAGTTATCCGGTGGATGCGAGCCGCAGGAATTTCACGCGCAGCGAGTTGGCGCGCCTCAGTAAAAAGGTGCTGCTGCCGAACGTGAACGAACGCGCGCACGAATACGAGGTGCGCACGTCGGCGAAGGAGTCGCCGACTGGTGCTGCTGCTGCGGCTGCGCCGCTCACCAGCACCACCAGCCAAACGAACGTCAAACGAATACAGAGAGACAGTCGGTCACTGGACAGTTCAGGTAGGTTGACTCCAATCCGACTAGAGCGGCAACACTGTATTTCTTTTTTATTATCGGCAATTGTCCGCTAAGAGACATGTCGCAGATGGGAAGACGCACCATTTTCAATGTGACTTTATAATTGGGTTTTACGCCTTTTACCCGACAGACGGCAACACTGTGCGCTAGACAAGGACAACCTTGAGAAGCGGGGCTTTGGAACTGTTGCGGAGCGGCAACACCGTCGACTAAACCACTGCAACTTGACGAAACAAGGGCTTTATTCTTTATGCACTGTTGCCAAGCGAGCGCTTAAAAGTATTTTTGCCGAATAATTTGCCCAGAAAATGGGGCAAAAAAACAAAGGAAAATTTGGTTCAGTCATTTTTTCGTTTGCCACCATATGTCAACACTGTAGACTAGACAAGGACAAGCAAAGCGAACAGAATTTTTCCTCTTTGATAGGCGCAGACGACTTTTTGGTGTTTTTACCGAGGCGGCAACCCTGCAGCTTGACCAAACAAGATGTATATGCGCTGTTGCTTTATACATAATTTCCCTGGAACTAAAAAAAAGTGACACGTTTCCATTGTTTCTTTGAATCTCTTACAAGGTCTTTATGCACTGTTGCCAAGCGCACGCTAAAAATTGTTTGCCGAATAAGGAAAATTGGGTATTAAAAATCAAAGTAGAAAATTCAGTAATTTTTTCGTTTGCCACTATACGTCAACACTGTACTCTAGACGACATTGACAGGCGTCAATGGTTTTTTCCGGATTTTACCGAGGCGGCAACGCTGTTAACTAAAGCAATGCAACTTGACAAAACTAGATCTTCATGCACTGTTGCCGAGCGAGCTTTATGCATAATTTCCCTGGAATTTCCAAGTGTCTCTTTGAATCTCATACGGATTATTGACAATTTTCCATTGAAAATTATCATTTTTTCGTTTGTTACTGTACGGCAACACTGTCCACTAGACAAGAGCAACTTGGTCGCACTGAACTTTCAACTGGGACGGTCGCATTTCGGTCATTTTGGGTTTTAGCAGAGCGACAACATTGCAAAGTGCAAATTTTGCATGCGGATTTTCAAAGTCCATGGTTTCCCCACACTTTAAAGGCCAATTTTGACGAAAAAATTGTTTTTTTACGTCTTTTGCCCAACATACGGCAACACTGTACACTAGACAAGGACAACTTTGACAAGCGAGTATTTAGAATTTTCGCGGAGTGACAACACCGTTGACTTAAGCGCAGGAACTTGACGAAACAAGGTCTTTATGCACTGTTGCCAAGCGCACGCTAAAACGTGTTTTTGCCGAATAAAGAAAATGGGGTAATGAAGTAATAATGAAGTAAAAAATTCATTCAGTCATTTTTTCGGTTGCCACTATACGTCAACACTGTATTCTAGACGACATTGACAGGCGTCAATGGTTTTTTGCGGATTTTACCGAGGCGGCAACGCTGTTAACTAAAGCAATGCAACTTGATAAAACTAGATCTTTATGCACTGTTGCCGAGCGAGCTTTATGCGTAATTTCCCTGGAATTAACAAAAAAACGTGGCAAATTTCCAAGTGTCTCTTTGGATCTCTTGTACGGATTATTGACAATTTTACATTGAAAATTATAATTTTTTCGTTTGTTACTGTACGGCAACACTGTCCACTAGACAAGAGCAACTTGGTCGCACTGAACTTTTAACTGGGACGGTCGCATTTCGGTCATTTTGGGTTTAAGCAGAGCGGCAACATTGCAAAGTGCAAATTTTGCATGCGGATTTTCAAAGTCCATGGTTTCCCCACACTTTAAGGGCCAATTTTGGCGAAAAAATTGGTTTTTTACGTCTTTTGTTCAACATTCGGCAACACTGTACACTAGACAAGGACAACTTTGACAAGCGAGTATTTAGAATTTTGGCGGAGTGACAACACCGTTGACTTAAGCGCAGGAACTTGACCAAACAAGGTCTTTATGCACTGTTGCCAAGCGCACGCTAAAACGTGTTTTTGCCGAATAAAGAAAATAGGGTAAAAAAAAACGAAGTAAAAAACGGCAACGCTGTTAACTAAATGCAACTTGACAAAACTAGATCTTTATGCACTGTTGCCGAGCGAGCTTTATGCATAATTTCCCTGGAATTAACAATAAAACGTGGCAAATTTCCAAGTGTCTCTTTGGATCTTTTATACGGATTATTGACAATTTTCCATTGAAAATTATCATTTTTTCGTTTGTTACTGTACGGCAACACTGTCCACTAGACAAGAGCAACTTGGTCGCACTGAACTTTCAACTGGGACGGTCGCATTTCGGTCATTTTGGGTTTTAGCAGAGCGGCAACATTGCAAAGTGCAATTAGTCAAAGTCCAGTTGCGCCCAAAGTGGTGGTGGTAGAGATTTCTTTCAGGTGGGGTTTTAAAGGGCGCAGTCTCTTCTTTGATTGGCCGCAAAATGGTTGCCCCACCTTCAAGGGGCGAGTTTAGGCGATTTTTTACGCAGCCCTATACGTCCACACTGTGCACTAGACAAAGACAGCCTGACCGACCGCAACCCTTCAACTCTGACAGTCGCCGGGCGGCCATTTTGGATCGTTCACAAACAAACTGTAGATTTTTAAGCAAATTGCGCATTTTCCGGCTGTCCACCAGTCTAAATGGCTTGGTGTGCCTGCGCAGGTAGCAACAGTAGCATCTACGAGCCGCTATCCAGTCTGGCCAGGCAGCGACTGTCTGGAAATGTCATCATTTCCAGTGGCAGCAAGTACATCCATTGTCCGCCGCCAGGGGTCGAGCCGCGCACTCCAGGTTAGCGCTGCTGGCGTGTAGATGTCGTTGCTGTAGCTAAAAACCCCCTCGGTTGGCGGTAGTTGTTGTTGTTGTTGTAGTAGTAGTGGGCGGGCTTTGACAGGTGTGACAGCTTCGTCAGCTTTGACAGCTTTGACAGCTTTGACAGCTGGCCAATCAGAGCCGCCCGACTAACCAGTAATAGATAGCCAGAGTGTGTTGCAGTGTTTCGATTTCCATTGGACTAACCTGGCATGTTTAACCTCAAAAACGTTGTGTTCAAACAATCTGATTAATTGGGGAAAAATTTCCAGATATTCCCTCTGCTGGACAGTTCCGGGCGCGGTCCAACTCGGCCGAGTCCTGGGCGACCGCCCAGGGAGACAAAGGTAGGTTGATTCGGTGTGGCCGACCGTGCTGCGCACCACCGCGACTTAACCCCACTTTGCGCACTTGCAGACTCAGTCACAGCCACGCCCCCATCGCAAATGTCCACGCCCCCCGCCTTCCCGCTCCACTCCCCGTCCCCGCTCATCCCCGAGCCGGTGCTGCAACTGCAGTTCCCCCCCCACCCTGTCATTGCGGTGACGCCCCCCCGCCCCTCCAGTCTGGATCTGGAGCAGCCGCAGCGCCCCGCCAGGGGGCAGTTCCGGAGCAGCGAGGCCAGTGAGTGTTGCGTGTGCCCGCCTCACTAATTCCCCCAAAATTGTGTTTGTTTTGACTGGTTGAGGCGAATCTAACCCCACTTTTCCCAACCGAACCTAACCGTGTTTGTGTGCTAACGCGCTTCGTTTTCTTGCAGCTAACAGCGCCAGCTGCGTGGTGAAGCGGCGCACTAAAACTAACTTTGGTAAGTGTGGTCCTTCGAGCCGGATACGGTTGGAGTTGACCGGGTGTGTTTCCGGTTGCAGGTGGGGATGAGCGCGCGCGCCGCCCCGAGTCCTACCTGAAGGCGACCAAGGGCGACCAGGGGCCGTTTGGGTGTGACGTCAGCGACTATGAGGACGTGCCGGCGCAGGCGCAAGCGATGCGAAAGTGAGTAATGTGTCAATCACTGTCATTTCGTCATGGTTACGGTGCTTGGCGCTATCCAGTGGCGCGTGCTTCCGCTTGTGGGTGAACCGCGCATCAATTCTAGGTGATGGGAGGCGGGGCGCGCTGCGCACCCGCCCCCTCCCACTGACAATGTTGCCAATTTGATTGTTTTCTCTGATTTCTCTGTAGCCGGTATAGGAAGTGGCATCCCTCCCCGTTTTACGGGGACATTGAGCAGCTGCGCAAAATGTTCGAGGACGCCGCCTCCTACAAGGGGTGAGCATCCGAGTGTCTTAGGCTTAGGCGGGCGTTGCTAATCCACACCAACACACACACACTAACCCCATTTTAACCACCCGATCGCTTTGCTCGGATTAAATCCGTTGACAGCTGTCAACCTTGACAGTTCCCTAGTCAGCTGCCACTGGTCATCTGACAGTTGAATGAATTTTGACAGTCGAGAAGTCATTGATCCTGCAGGTTCTTAAACCGATTTCAGTTTTTCAGTTGACGACTTTTGCAGATAATTGAGCTCGTTCCAACGAGGTTTTTATTTTCTCGTATCTGGCAGGATTTCCTGCGGATTTTGATTTTTCAATTTGGGAATTTTTTAGAGAAATTTGTCTGTTTTTCAGCAAAGTTTTTATTTGTCATATCCGACTGGTATTGAGAAAGTTACGCGCCAATTTTTCCCCGCAGGAAAAGTCATTTTTTCCTAAAAACGTCTAGGGGACTCAAATTGAGTTCAAAATTCATCCGAAATGTGAATGATAGAAAATATTCGTTCCAGAGGCCTACAGCGTCATCAAGCCTGCAGCTTCTTCAACCAGTTTTCCCTACAGGAAAGTGAGATTTTTTTGAACAAATATTTTGGCTCCTCATATTGCTTTCAGAATTCGTTTTAAGTGTGAAGGTTCGAAAATGTTCGTTTCAGCAGCCTGCAGGATTGTGAACTCTTGCAGGTTCTAAAAACGATTTAAGTTTGTGAATTGGCGATTTTGAAAGAAAATTGAGCTCATTTCAATGCGATTAAAATTTTTCAATTCGGACTGGTTTTATGAGATACCTCTATTTTACACTGCAGGAAACACTTTAACATAATTTTCAATCCTTCGTAGCTGGCAAGTTTTCCAGTCGATTTTATTTGTAAAACTGTTGATTTTGAGAGAAAATTCCGCACTTTCCAATGATGTTTCAAGATTTGAAATCGCGTCAGTATTAAGTGAGTTGCGCGACAAAATTTCCCTGCAGGAAAGTGCGTTTTTGGCAAATATGCGTTTTTAGGCCCATTAATGCGTTGAGAATATTCATCCAACGGATAATTATTTCAAAAAATTGGTTCAGCAGGATTTGAAAGTTGAAATCCTGCAGATTTTGATTTTACCATTGACATTGAATTTTTTTAATGCGTCTGTTTTGCGAGTTATGCGACAAACTCCCCAGCAGGAAAATATCGTTTTTCTTCTAACGATGCATTTTGGGTCTTCAACCCGATTTTTGAGCCCCGAACGGCCCGATCGCTTTGTTCGTGTTAAATCCGTTGACAGCTGTCAACCTTGACAGTCCCCTAGTCATCTGTCACTGGTCCCTTGACAGTCGGTGACAGTTGAATGCTGAACTAATCGCATGTTTAATCACTGAACGTTTCGCCTACTTTGCTCCACCCGCGGTTGGGGCTTATCAGTGAAATTTGACGTTTTTTATGCAGTTTTGAGGGTGCATTTTGGCTGAATCTCGCTTAAAACCCTTACAAAAATCGCTCTCCATTTGGCGCAGCGTTTCGACAGCCGGCCATCTTCAGGGCCAATCAGTTCCACTTTGGTGCGCCTGCGCAGCCGAAATGCACCATCAAACTGCCGATTATTGCATGTATTCTGACAGTTTGCAAGTGGATTTTCCGTCGGAAAATCGCGGATTTAATGCGGATTTTTGCCCACTTTAGCGGCAGCGGCAGCGGGAACAGCAGCAGCAGCTCACTGGACAAGGACAGGACATGCGCCAGCCCAGTGGCGTACAAGCACGAATCGGATGGTGTGGTGCGCGAGGGCGTGGTCAACTGCAAAATACTGGAAATCGATGGAAAAGTGAGTAGTTTTCAATTTTGATGTCAAATCCTGCGGAAGAACCGCAAAATGAGATATTTCCTCCACTCTGGACCAACTGGTGGATGCGCCAGCCAAAACCTTCACTTGTCACTCAAATGTGACAGCTGTCACTGTTTTGGACAACTTGACAGTGAACACTCACTGTCATCTTGCCCGACGCGTCCATTGCGGCTTCACAGGCAATGTTGCCGGCTTGTGGCGACGATCCTTAACGGGTGTTGTTTTCGTTTGCAGCGTGCGGCCGATCGTTCGTGGAAGCAGGTGTCGATGGTGCTGCGCGGCCCCAAACTGTTTCTGTTCAAGGATCGCCATCATCAGGTGAGTGTTGTGAGCAATTGCGAGCTGACGGGCGGCTAATTAGGATGCGATGTTGCGCAAACGGATGTGATGGAATGCGGTGTTGTTGTTGCGTCCATAGAGGGCGTCGAAGCCACTTAGCGATGCACGGCAGGAAATCGTTTACCGGCTCGATATGGACGCAACTTCCGCCCATCCAATCGGTCGCCATTAATTATTGATTAATTCCTTAATAATTAATGAATTTACTGATCGGGCGGTGGATGGAAAACGCGTGCTGAAGGCCCCCATTGGGGAATGACAGCGGCTGTCAACGTTGTCAATGTCAGTGCAGTTGGAGGTTAGGGTCGTTTGTTATGCGCCATTTGATTGGTGTTGAGTGATTCAGTCGCGGCGAATTAGCATGTGAGGGCGGCACCGCCGCATTCCAACGCCGCCGCTTGCGCAAAATTTGAATGAAAAATTGGCGTAATGCGGTTTCAATGCGCAATACATGGATGCCATATTTGCGTTATTTAAATCGGTTGATTGACCGTGACGATTGAAGTGACACCGAAGGTTTTGAAAAATCGCCCTTTAAGGGTGGGGAAACCATTTTGGGGCCAATCAGAGAAGAGGCTGCGCTCTGTAAAACACCACCAGCAGGAAGCTTCTACTGGCCCCAGTTTCGGCGCCACTGGAGTTTGAAAATTCGCATGCAAAAGCCGGGAAGAGTGACACCGAAGACTTTGAAAAATCGCCCAAATTCGCCCTTTAAGGGTGGGGAAAGCATTTTGGGGCCAATCAGAGAAGAGGCTGCGCTCTGTAAAACACCACCAGCAGGAAGCTTCTACTGGCCCCAGTTTCGGCGCCACTGGACTTTGAAAATTTGCATGCAAAAGCCGGGGAGAGTGACACCGAAGACTTTGAAAAATCGCCCAAATTCGCCCTTTTAGGGTGGCGAAAGCATTTTGGGGCCAATCAGAGAAGAGGCTGTGCTCTGTAAAACACCACCAGCAGGAATCTTCTACTGGCCCCACTTTTGGCGCTACTGAACTTTGAAAATTTGCATGCAAAAGCCGGAGAGAGTGACACCGAAGACTTTGAAAAATCGCCCAAATTCGCCCTTTAAGGGTGGGGAAACCCTTTTGTGGCCAATCAGAGAAGAGGTTGTGCTCTGTAAAACGCCACCAGCAGGAAGCTTCTACTGGCCCCAGTTTCGGCGCCACTGCAATGCAAAACTCGCCGATAATGAATCGCAATAACTAATCGATGTCAACTGAACATCTGTTTCTTCAATGTCTTCGCAATCAGTTTACGAGCGAAAATCGGGTTTCGAGCACTCGACTTGAACGAATGTTCGTCGAATCCTCAACGATTTTCGGCTTCTGCACGGCCCTGATGATGTCGCTGGCCGACGCAGCCGAAACGTGCGACCGATGAGCCGGCGCAGGAGTAGGAGAGGAGTGTTGATGGTGCCACTTCCAAGGCGGCTCGATAGTGGAACCAGCAGCGACCAGACGACGAACGGGTACCAGTTGGCGGGCGCGCGTTCATTAAACTCCTGCAGAATCGAACCAGTTTTCCGTTTTTTTTTTTTT